TTCTGAAACACAAATCACAAAATTTCCGTGAAAGTTATGCAGTGACATAAGAATACCATTCAATCAAATTCACCGACCTATTGAGAGCATAATCAACCCCAGCAAAATCAGCTCCATCAAAATTGAAGCCATTAGGTTCAAGACCTTGTACTTGCGCTCGCTGTTTGTCATGGTCAACATCAAATACAGTATCATAAAGTCCTGGTACAGAGAAGTCATCATAAATTCAGGCTTGTAGATTTACCCAGAAGCAGATCTTCCCTAATCGAAACCAAACCTAATACTCAAGAAGTTGGAATTTTAGCTTTCATGAGATAATGTTATAGGGTCCATTAAATCTGCTCTCATTGTTTTGATGATAAAAGACCTTTAAAAAGAACATAGAAAAGAAAAACCAACAGTCCCAGAATAGGCACAATGGGCACTGAAAGGTAAGAACTGTATACCTCCTGTCTTACGAACAACGGGGATGGATCCATAACGCATGGCTACCAATTGAGTTAACCCACATGGTTCAAAAAGTGAAGGAACTAAAGTGAAATCTGCACCTGCATAAATCTATTATGATACAATATATAAGAAAGCGGAGTGTTACATTAAGGTCGTCAAACAACTGTTGCCATCTTTATGTTAATAGAACATGTGCAATTCTAAAATTTTGAAGTTACCAAGTGAGAAAGAGGTTCATCATAGGTCAAACAAAGGCGAGCACGGTCCCCATGAATGTTATGTAACTGATTTGCTAAGTCACTAAATTCCCCTTGTATGCGGGGATCTGGAGCTGAACCAAGCAAAACAACCTGTAACCCACATTATTCACCATAGGAATCATGAATTAGGGCACCGGCACAGGCACATGGACCACAATACATAGAATGTCTCATGTAACAGTAGGTTCAAGTCATCCAATCATCAATGAAGGAAGAATGTTGAATGTACTCTACCGTGTGCTTCATGGCAGAATAAAATTTACCTGTCCATTACGTTCAAGGGTTCGCCAAATAGCATGTTTGATAAGGTGAATACCTTTCTGAACAGTCAAACGGGTAATGATACCTACTAAAGGGTGATCAGATTTCTTTAAGCCAAGCAGTTGCTGTAAGGCATCCTTAGCAGCCCTTTTCCCTTCCACAACATTGTCTGAAGTGTAAGACATCTGGAATATCATGTGTCATTAGTTCCAAGCATAGTCAGCTTAGGATCACCAATGATTACAATGTCAAGAAAGAGACCAATGATTACAATGTCAAGAAAGAGAAGCATTATGACTGTTTCTACTAAATGTTCAATTATACAATTTTTTCACAAACAATTTTAAAAGTTCTTCTCAAATATGACTTACTGCATCAATCAAACATCAGTCATGAGAACCTTTATTCCAAATATAGATTAAAAGAAATCTTATTAGTTAGACTTGTCAAAAAATTACCATAATGCAGAAAGACAAGATTATCTACATGATAGTCTGATCGCAGGCATCAAAAGAATATTTAAATCCCATACACATGTAGAGTAGGTCAATAGGGCCAAAATACCGTAGACGGTCAAAGGATAAATATGACATTACTGAAAGATTGTGAGAAGAAACTAATAATCCTAATCAACTGAAAAGGGACACTTCCCTGCATAAGTGGAATATAAGATATAGCAACACAACATTCTTCTGTGTCATCCAAAAAAGGCACACCATGAGCAACACGTTTTGTCATGATATGACATGTATAGCGAAGCGGCATACTATCTGGATAGTTGTAAATATCAAAACAAAGATGAAACTCATACATTATACAATGATGGATGAGGCGTTTTACGAAATTTGGTAAGGCTGCACCCTCAAAACCCCCAAGGAAAGACCAGATCTGGGGTCGGAAAACTTTGTGATGGCATGCAACTATATTGGAAGTTCAAGCTCAAAAAAGAAAAAAAAAAGACCACAGATCTTCCGGACCTGTGAGGACTTGAAATGGACTGTTCATAAAAGCTGTTGTAAGATGGACCAATTTTAGGACTTGGAATCAATTTTTTTCAGATCCATGGAGATGATTGACTTGCAGGTTTTTGGCCTACCGTACTGCTGCATTTTCAGGTGAGATTTGAGATGCCACAGTACAAAGTGCCAGCATGACAAAATGCTGCTAATATGATACAACTAAAATCAAACAAATAGATATAAATAAGGAAACTATTCTATGTGTGCACTGAAAGTTTCCTAGACAGCTTTAGCATATACGCAGTCCACCCATGTTGATAAGGGACATCTGGCATATGCCGTGTTGTTCCTCCACTTAACATCCTTGAGTGGAGGAATAATGCACCCCAGCAATCCATCGCTTACATTGGATGATCGTGGTTAAGTTTAGAACCTTGCACATGCAATTTATACAGACCCATATAAAATATTATATACCATAGGAGAGAGGAAGGCAGCACACACACACTAGAGTTAAGACTATTTTACTCTTATACCCTTCATGTACATGAGATATTACACCAAGTATTATAACAAACATAAAAAACTGAAAAATATTAATAACATGCACATGTATAATACAATACAAAGTATCATATTGCTAGTAGCCCCCCACATGCTATGCCATGGTTTCTAACATGGATAACTTGGCTTTGTGACACTAAAGCCTCACTTGTTTAAGCAACTTGGTGACGATATATGCAGCTTGGTATTCAATACTAATGAAATTTGGCCTCAATTTCTTGATCCTTTATTTTTCTTTCACAAAGTGCTGATCAATCTCAATGTGCTATGTCTACCATGATGTCCTAGATTGGGAGAAATAGATATTGCAATATGGTTATCACAATAAAACAACGATCTAGAGATATTCTGACTAAAGGCAGTCAGTACATGAAGAATAGAAGAAAATTCAACAATAATTGCTGCCATAGACTAGTATTCCCCCTTATTGCTTTAACCAACCAAGGTACTTTGCTTTCAAGTACTCCATGAGACCAAGTTAAGTCCTAGAACATGCATAACCAAACATGGAAATATGAAATTCTATGTCCCTAGCCAATTTGTGCAATGACAATAAGAGGATCGGAGGAAGATGCTATAAAAGGTGCTTTATATTTTGTTTTGTATCATGCTGTCATAGCCATCATTGTCAAGGGCATAATTGTACAATGCAATTATATGTACTTAATAAAGAGAGACACACTCCCCAATTAGATCAAGGGAGATTTCATGCGCTCCTTCTTATACTCTTTTTCTTCAAGCTTTTTTATTAGAAGAATTCCCTCGAGTGTACACCAAGTGGTGCAAAACAGGCACACGGAAAGGAGAGATCCAAGACCGATTCAGCGACAACCCATCGATCAAACCAATTGAGCAACAAGAGGAAAACTTCCTTGGTCACCGTCAAGAAAGGGACAGGAACAAGGGTCTTTCCAGCCCTAACCACTCTACTACTCTACAAAAAGTGGGGTTCTCATCCACTACAAACTAGGACATAATTTTTTTCAATTTCATTAATCAAAATAACATCAACAGTACAACTGTTACAACAATGTTCAATATTTATGAACTCACTCGTGGGACTTGATAATGGCCAAAAATGCACAAAATAGAAAAACGACTAAACTACCAACACACCCTATTCTCCATACAATAAAATCAGCTTGTGTGCAACCTCCATGCAACCAAGTTCCCATGTTGCAAATCCCCATTCATGCAACCAAATTCCCATGCATAGGAACTCTACTTCATTGGCTCTTTAATTTAGGGGATCGCAAAACGACATTACTTCTATTTTGACTTATTGACTACATGGGGAATCTACAAGACTCTATTCTACCTTGACTTTAAACCAACAAATAAAACAATCCCAACGTGTCCAACTTAACAAAGATTGCAATTCCAGACTCATCCCTATGTCAAATTCAAAAATAAAAACTTGTTCCAGCCAGCCCCTTGATGCGATTTGCAAAATACTCCCCGGATTGGAAAAGAACTTGCTTTGAGTTTCGGCAATCTTCTTAGAATGCCTTTCCTCTAATTGATGGTGAAATCCAGTGACTTTGCAGAACTTATCTGTATGAGACATGAGGTCGAACAACTTGTGTATGTTTTTGATGGTCCTGGATTCAGCATTCATGTTGGTCAACATGCTATTGATTGAGAGATTAGAGTTGAGTTTTCTCCCCAGAGATGAAGTGCCAATTCCCATTGCAAGGGCTTTACAGCCCACCAAAGTATAGAAACCAATTGCCTTCTTGAGACTGCTCCTCTGGTCACTATTTTTGTAAGCCACAAGTGCCTCCTCAGTTTTTATGAAGTGAATAATCAGCTAAGTTGTGAGCTGTAAAGATTGACCTTGAAGAGGCATCAACTGCTAGCGTCTGGTCACAAACATTATTTAACGTACAAATGCTTCACCCAGCTTTACAACTCTGATTTTGGGACTGCTCGCCATTACTGGTTTCCCTACCTTGGTAAAGAACTTGGGTAGTTACTCCAACTGCAGCCTTAAGGCCCAAATGATTGCTCTCATTGAATGCAAGGAAGAAAGGTATACTACTAAAAGTTGGATAAAGAATGGCAGGAAGGTAGTGGATTACACTGATGAAACAGCTTTGCTCCCCTCTAATACAGTGGAGATACTAGTGTTATTCAACCCACGCTCATCACAATCACACAAATCATGGGTAATTCTTTGATGTAAATTTCAGCAATGGTGTTGAGCTCACTGAAAACACCACTATAAAAATGATAGCAAAAGCAACATCACCATTAGCTCTCACATAGCCATCAACCACATAGCCAGTGGTAGGCTCATTACAACTCCTAATAAAGTTAAGAAACAGTTCAGGAAAGAGCTTGAATGCCTCTATAAAATATAAATTGTCTTGTAACTATCCACTAGCTGATTCAAAACCCATTTGTGGTCTTAAACTCGGTCTGAGAGCATGGGCTTGCTATGCATGCTCGAGATTGCGGAGAGTAGCCAACTTATCCATTTACAGGCCTAACACATTGAGTTCTACAACATAACTTAAAGCAATACCTCCATGGACATGGACAACACAAGCTCCTATCAGATAGTTCCAACTGATAATGTCACGATCTTGCCAATTCTCAAGATAACCATGCACCTCCCCATGAATCAAATCAAGCATAAAAAAACAATAAAAGAAACCCAAATAGAAATTTGTAAATCTAGGCCCAACTTAACGTTCAAAAAATGAACTTGAATATCCAAGACTAAATTCCTTGAGTTCCAACACAAGTATGCACTAGAAACAGCAAGGAGATAGAAAAAACTTGGTTTAGAACCATGAAAGATTATACGAGGGAAGAGTCTTGAATCACTTACAATCCTACCTCCATGGAGATATCCATTCGAAGTATTTTTGTAGGAAATCTCATCTCAAGATTGAGCATTTATTCCATTGAGAGGAGATTGCTACTATTGTAATGAACAAATGTGGGTGGAATGCCAGTACAAAGATTAGAACCAAACCCATGTTTCAGAGCTTTAGCATAGGCATACTTAGTAGCTTCCATGCTCTCTAATTGTCCACTACACCCCTTTGATGCAGCAATACAAGCAATGGTATATTGAGAAGACCAATAGGTTTTAATTTCACGAAAGTTTGTGACTCTTGGATGAAGAGTCCTAAGTCTACAAAAATTGAGATTAGTGTGCCAAGTAACCATGCCTTTGGACATCTCATGCATCACATTTTGTACATATAGAAAACTGCCATATATCCATGATATAGTAGCCTCGAACACATCTAAGAATACTCACACATGAATGTTGAAATGGGTCAAGATAAATCCTGCATTACAACCACAACCTTTTTGATGCAATGGGTTTTTTATGTTTTATTTTTTATATTCTCTATAATCTAAATTTGGTGTTATTTGGGTTTTTAGCTTTCTTTAGGGTCATTTCGTACCTTTATTGGTCGTAGAGATTTGATGAGTAGAATTGGAAAGTTTATTTTATTTTAAAGATGAAGTGATTAAGATATGTTAAAAAGAGGTAATGGGGAAAGCGGATAAAGATTAGCTTCCCAACAATTAAGAAGTGATGAGAGTTACGTGAGATAAAGAGAAGAAGATAGAGAGAGAAAACATGTGAGAGAGAGTTTTTGTGTTTTATTTTTATTTTTATTTTTAGTTTGTATTTAACGGGAAGAAGGTCCATTTTGACGAAGTTTGTTAATTTGAAAAGAAAAAAATTGTTTTTAGATCTTGTGAAGAGATTTTTGGGGGTGGACTCCTTTGGAAATCTTGAGAGAGAGTACATTTTCTCAACACTATATTATTATTTTTAGTTTATTCATTTATTTCCACCATCTTCCCTACATTAGTTGGTATCAGAGGCAGTGGTTCAGGCCAGTAGATCAGACCCTTGAGATCCATAAAACACGATGCTTTTACAAACATCTATAGATCTAGTTATGGAGCATATAGACCAAATATATGAGTGATTGGATCAAAGATTTCAAAGATTCAAAGAAGGCCATCCCAAAATAATGTACGAAGTGTTACAAGATTGGCTCAATAGATCGCAACAAGAGGAAGAAGAATATGAAGGGGTAAATCTCAATCCGAAAGATGTTGACAACCTAAAAGTGCTACAAATTTCGATAATCAATTAAGAAGAAGAAGATACGCTAATTGCGGTACATGAAATGCCATCCTTTGAGTACACTATCTACGATTCAGGATTCATGGTAAGTTGAGGCATGAATACAATGAGTACACATTCTTAATAATGATAAGAATAGAAAAATATTACAGTTATGCCCATGAATAGCACAAGTACAAAGTCTCATATTGTTAATATATACATGAATAGTGCAATTTTTTGGGGGGCATCTAATTATTTACTTAGGAAATTTATGAAAAAATCCTACTTTCTTATCCAAGTTTAAAAATAGTCTTACATGACTATTTGTAAACTGTGATGAGTTTGTTGAAGACTGAGGAGGAGGAGGAGCCTGGCTTTGTGAACAAGAGTTAGACATATTGAAGGTGTTACCAAACCTATATCGATAAAACGGTGCTATATGATTTCTTTTCCTGCAGAGTTAGAATCTGAGAGAGGGAGATGGAATTGGTCACAACCTGGGGATTGGCATAGGGAGAAGTCTGTCACTAGCATTGATACTATAACCATGAGTATTTTGAAGTTGCTTATCCCTCCTCCAACCACATCCATTCTGTCACAAGTCCACGTCCAAAGGTATTGGAGACATTAAAGATATCAAGCGCCTCATTGCTGACCATGTCCTTATAATGTGCATTTGAAGACATGAACATTGATTCATGTTGTAGAAATAAGGGACGCAACTCGACAAAGGTTGGTGCGCATGTCATACTCAAAGCAACAAAGTTTTGCTATTCGTTTCCCAAACTGCCAGCTTGTACATAACCTTGTCATGATCAAAGATTGGGGTCTTCAATGGCTGCCAGGTGATTAGACAAGAACTTGATCTTGTTTAGAAACTCAGCAATAGAGGAAAAATCCTCTCCAAACTTGTTGTAACACCATTCATAGTTACAAGAAATTGCAATAGATGCTTGTCAGTATGAAGAATGAAGAGTGTCTCACAAATACTTCGTCATGCCATAGTCGAAGACTTGAAGCAATATTTCTTGAAATAAAGTGGTGGCTATCCTAGAGACTCAGGTTTGCCCCAAAGAGTTCCATGTAGTGGATGCTAGATTGGGAGTCAACATAGGTTTTTGAATGCTTTTGTCATCTACATGTTCTTTTGAATATATTTTGGAGGGCATCGGATTAGTCCCATCAAGTTCGGCCATGAGAATTTTGGCCGTGAATGAAGGGGATATCTGGCATTTCCATAGAAAAAAAAATCTTGGAATCAAGGTTAATAATATAGAGAAGGAAGCAGAGGAAGATCCACCCTTGATGATGCTTTTTTTTTCTTTTTCTATTTGAGGATTTTTGCTAGGTTTTCGCCCTTTTTTGTGTTTTTGGCCGGAGATATTTTGGTTAGGTTTATTTTTTTTGGTTTTTGAGAGCGAGAGAGAGAGAGAGAGAGAGAGAGAGAGAGAGAGAGAGAGAGAGAGAGAGAGAGAGAGAGAGTAGTAGTAGTAGTAGTAGTAGTAGTAGTAGTAGTAGTAGTAGTAGTAGTAGTAGTAGTAGTAGTAGTAGTAGTAGTACGTACGTACGTACGTTACGTTACGTACGTAGTACGTAGTACGTAGTACGTAGTAGTAGTAGTAGTAGTAGGTAGTAGGTAGTAGTAGTAGTAGTAG